CCCAGCACTGCCGCGAGCTGCTTCGCCTCCGCCCTGGACAAAACCGCTCTCTTGTCGAACTCCAGGAGCGCCTTCCGCAGGGACGCCGGCGGCCCGCACTCCAGGAACTCTCGCGGCGGCGGCCGCAGGATCAGCATGTTCCGCATGCACGTGGCGCGGGAGAACATGACGTAGAGGTGCAGCCACCACTGCTCGTCCGACATGCCCGTGCGGCCAGCGTCCTCGTCTCTCGCGCAGTCGATGGTGACGCCCTTGCGCAGCGTCTGGCCCTGCGACAGCGTGGAGGTCAGGTAGGACGCGTGCGTCAGGGTGAACCCCGAGCGGCGCACGCTGTGCGCCCCCGAGCTCTGCCATGTGAACTCCCTTTCGCTGGGCCTGAACATCAGCAAGCTCCGCGCCCGCGCCTCGGCCTGGCCGTCGTCGTCGGCGCCTTCGGCGCCCTGTCGCAGCACCTCGGCGACCTGAGGAGCCCAAAAACTTCCTTGTTGCGTCCAAAATGTGGCCTGGGAACTGCGTTCTGGCAGCGCGAGAACCCAACATTGACGACAGTTACAGGTTTTGGATGACCTGCTCGGATTACCAACATGATCTGCGGGCCCCATAGGGAGGGGGCTCCCGCCTGAGACTTCCTCGCAGTTCACTCACAGACGAGGCTCCCGCCTGAGACTTCCTCCATATTCAGGCTTGAGGAGCCCAAAATTGACGACAGTTACAGGATTCCGATGACCCGCTCGGATTACCAACGTCATCTGCGGGCCCCATAGGGAGGGGGCTCCCGCCTGAGACTTCCTCACAATTCACTCAGAGACGAGGCTCCCGCCTGAGACTTCCTCCAGATTCAGGCCTGACGAACCCAAAAGTGACGACAGTTATAAGTTTCCGATGACCCGCTCGGATTACCAACATGATCTGCGGGCCCCATAAGGAGGGGGCTCCCGCCTGAGCCTTCCTCAGAATTCACTCACAGACGAGGCTCCCGCCTGAGACTTCCTCCAAATTCAGGCTTGAGGAGCCCAAAAGTGACGACGGTTACATGTTTCCGATGACCCGCTCGGATTACCAACATGATCTGCGGGCCCCATAGGGAGGGAGCTCCCGCCTGAGCCTTCCTCAGAATTCACTCACAGACGAGGCTCCCGCCTGAGACTTCCTCCATTTTCAGGCTTGACGAGCCCAAAAGTGACGACAGTTACAGGTTTCCGATGACCCGCTCGGATTACCAACATGATCTGCGGGCCCCATAGGGAGGGGGCTCCCGCCTGAGACTTCCTCACAATTTACTCAACGATGATGAGGATGAGGATGATGAGTGGTGGTGAAGATGAGTGGTGAAGAGGATGATGATTGATTGTGAGTGGTGGTGGCGATGATGATGTTTGAATGAGGATGATGCCGATGCCGATGATGATGATGATGATGATGTTCGTGAGCGTGTGAGAGAGTGCGAGTGATGATAATGATGAGTATGTGAGTGACTAAGCATGTGAGAGAGCATCATCGATGATGCTGATGAGGTTGATGATGAGAGAGTGTGAGTGGGTGTGTGTGTGTTCCTGTTCCTGCGCGGGGTGTCCAGAGAAAACAAGAACCCCACTTTGGATGTGGGGAACAAGAAGTTTGATCGCCTCGGGATTCCGGAGAAAACCAATGTTGTGTATTGTATTTCATCAGTGATTTCAAACGAAATTCGATCGCCTCGGGATTCAGCCGAAAACGAATGTGTTGTATTGGACTCAAAAATGATTAAATCGCCCCGGGATTCCTCCCGAGGAAACCAATGTTTTGTATTGGCTGTTCAAAACGAATTTTTTAAAGAAATTTGATCGATCGCCTCGGGGTTTTGCCGAACACCAATGTTGTGGATTGGGTTCACAAATAGATGTCAAAAGAAATTGGATCGCCCCGCGATTCCAGAGAAAACTAAAACTTTGTATTGGATTCCGAAAAGAATTCCAAATGAAATCGGATCGCCTCGGGATTGTAGAAAAAACAACCAATGTCACATATGGGATTTCAAAGGAAGTTCAAAAAATAGGATCGCCCCGAGATCCCAGAGAAAACCCATCTTTTGTATTGAATTCCCCCAGAAATCTGACAGGAAGTTGGATCGCCCGCCTCGGAATTCGGCGGACAACCAATTCTTTGCATTGGATGTCACAAAGAATCTATGAAAAGAAATTGGATCGTTTCGGGATAACGCAGAAAACTAATGTTGTGCATTGAGTTGCAAAAATAATAGTACAAAGAATTTGATCTCCACGGGATATCACTGGTAACGAATGCCTTGTATTTGATGTCGCAAGAAAATTCGAACGAACTTGGACCGCCTCGGGCTCGCACAGAAAACCAATGTGTTGTTTTGGATTCACCAGGAATTTCAAAGGAAATATACAATCAATCGGTTTCCAAAAAAGATAATGGAACGTCTCCGAAATCTCCACCGAGGCATTGTTTTGTATTGAATTTCAACAGTAACCAGCCAAAACATTGAGCGTCTCCTTACTTCAATTTCAATGCCAGTCGAATGTTGTGCATTTGGTTAAAAATCTCGGGAAGTCAATCAAATGCACTGTGTTGCACTAGATGCCAAAAGGAAGCCAACAGAAACATGTAGCATTTACATTTACAACACCATTGTTGCACAACACCATTGAATAATTCCAGCGAGCCCAAAGGAATCCTCAGGCATCCTGAGGAACCTTTCGGAGCCCTGAAGAATTCGATCATCAAAAATAGATATGAAAAACCCTGGGAGACCCTAAGGAACCGACGCAGACCCCAAGGAACCCAGAGGAATCCTGAGGATACCTCAGGAACGCTGACGATCCCCGAGGAATCATAAAAGGATATCCAAAAGAATCCTGTGGAGCCCACTGGACTTCCTCCTCCTCTGTTCCGCCTCCCTCCGCCGCCCCCGCCCCTCCTCCTCCTCCTCCTCCTCCTTCTCCTCCTCCGCCGTTGAAGAAATTTGATAAAAGGCTTGGAAGCAGGGGGCACTCCAATCGTGGGCTGGTCAGGGGTATCACCACCGCCCTCATCCGATACGGAATGGCCAACGGTCTGAAGGCTCCTGGGCATATTCCTTTACCAACGCCCCCGTACCCTCCCTCCCCGACGGGGGCAGGGAGGGAGAGGGACTAGCGTGATCTGGACTTGCGCAAGGGCTGTCGGTCCGCTGGGGGGGGGGGGTAGGTAACTACACCTCCGCGAAGCTCCGTTCCGCCTTGCAGGGCCTTCGGGGCCGCATCGCCAGGGAGGGGGGCCGCGAGCCCAAAGAAGACGTGCAAGCCCAGCCTCGTGAATCGAGCGTTCGCGCAATGCATACTCTCGAGACCCAAGAGAATTCATGCACACGTAACCGCGTATTCTTTCTCTCCTGAGGGGAGGAGGAGGAAGAACGAGCCATGACCGGGAGATTTACTTTTCGAGAGGTTCGCGTTCCCCGACTCAGCCAATTCCGAAAAACTGCGCTGCCATCTGTTGTTCCCAAACCTCCTGCGTTGGGTACTCGTTTTGAATGGAGCACTGCGGTCGCACGTTTTCTTCTTCTCCCGCTTCCCTCTTCCTATCATCTCTCCTACTTGCCTGCTTCCCATCTCGCCGTCGTGCCTGGATGCTTGGTGGGGGGCTGCGATCAGCGAAACGGTCGTCACTTTCGCAGGGTCCACCGAAGGCCCCTCTGGCACCCCCCGCATGCGTCACCCCCACCTAGTACATCGTTTCGTGGCCACATAGGGAGCTCCACCGAAGGCCCCAGTGGCACCGCCCGCATGCGTCACCCCCACCCAGTACATCGTTTCGTGGCGACACAGGGGGCTCCACTGGAGGCCCCAGTGGGACCCCCCGCATGCGTCTCACCCACCCTGCACGGCGCTTCGTGGCCCCATAGGGAGTTCCACCGAAGGCCCCAGTGGCGGTGTCCGCATGCGTCACCCCCAACCAGTGCAACGCTTCGTGGCCCTCCGGGAAGCTCCCCCTAAGGCCCCAATGTCGCTGTCCACATGCGTCTCCTCCACCCATCATAGCGTTCCTTGGCCCCATCGGGAGCTCCACCGAAGGCCCCAGTAGTACCGCGCGTATGCGTCACCTCTACCCAGTACAGTGTCTCGTGGCCCCAGAGATGGCTCCGCTCACATGCGCCGCCCCCGCGCAGTACATCGTTTCGTGGGCCCATAGGGATCTCCACCGCAGGCCCCAGTGGCGGTGTCCGCGTGAGTCTCCCCCACTCAATACAGCGTTTCATGGTCACATAGAGAGTTCCACCGACGGCCCCAGTCGCGGCGTCCGCATGCCTTTCCCCCGCCCTGTCCAGCGTCTCGTGGCTCCAGAGGGAGCTCCACCGAAGGCCCCAGTGGCGGTGCCCGCAAGTGTTTTCACCCAGAACCATGTTACGTGGCCCAATCAGGAGCTCCACCGAAAGCCCCAGTGGCTGTGTCCGCATGCGTTTCCCCCACCCACTGCAACGTCTCGTAGCCCCATAGGGAGCTCCACCGAAGGCCCCAGTGGCGGTGTCCGCATGCGTTTTCCCCACCTAGTGCAGCGCCTCGTGGCCCCATAGGGAGCTCCACCGACAGCCCTAGTGGCGGTGTGTTTCGTGACCCCATAGGGGGCTCCACCACCGAAGCCCCAGTGGCTGTGTTCGCATGCGTCACCCCCACTCAGTACAGCGCTTCGTGGCCCCATCGTTTAGCTCCAGCGAAGGCTCCAGTGGCATGGTTCTTACGGCGTGGCCCCATACGGAGCGCCACCGAAGGCCCCAACATGGCGCCCGCGTGCGTCCCCGCTCCATTTCGGCACACCATTTACAGGCTTCGTGGCCCCATGAAGGAATCCACCGGAGGCGATACCCACAACGGCGATACTGACAACTGCATGTGGTTGGGCCCTTCGCCAGGATAACTTGTAAGCCCCAAGGGCTCTCTGGTCCTTGTGGACGGTTCTTTGGAGGCCGTGGGGGCCTCTTTGGAAATCGTGGGGGCACCTTGGGCCAGGGGCACTACCAGCAACACCCGACCCGGCTTTCGGCGGGCTGGTCTCCAGGATGGTCTGCAGCCGGTGCGCTATCGTCAGCGTCGTTGCCCCCACGAAGCACCTGGCCGGGAGGGCACAGGCTCGCAAAAGGCGGCGCCTGGTCCTGGCCGGCCCGATCCTGGGCGCAAGATCGGCGTGCGGGCCCTCCTCCCAAACATGCAGCGTCTCGAACAAGCCGGGGCGGAGATCTTGTGCCGTGTCTCGGCCTCAGGGGGTCGGGCCTGCCGTGGCCGCGCATTTGACAATCCAGGGCGTCGCATGCCTCGGCGGGAGCGGGGAGAGGCGGCACCACCAGCACCAGCGCAGGGAGGGCCATTCCTGGTGGTCTCGCTCCCCCGGCTCGCTCGAGGCATCCCCTCCTCCCTGTGTCCTCCGACCTCAATAAAAATTGCCCTGGCGACGTACCCAGCCCCTGCGCAAACGCAGGGCGCAAATAGTTTAGGACACCTTATAAAAGGGGGCGATGACGGAGCGAGGGTTACACATCTCTGCAGACGGCTACAGGACACCTTATAAAGGGGGCGATGACGGAGGAGGACACTGGCTACAGGACAAGGACTAGATAAAGCTGATTAGTGACAATCCCTGAGCAACCCTAGCCCACTTCGAAAGCGGGGATCTCATATCGCAGCCCCCCAGGGATGGCGAGGTCTAATTTGGGTCCGTGCGTGGCGTCACTGTGCTGGGCCCCCCAGCAGGCCTCGAAAGTGGCGACAGTTTCACAGATCGCAGCCCCCCAGGGATGGCGAGGTCTAATTTGGGTCCGCGCGTGGCGTCACTGTGCTGGGCCCCCCAGCAGGCCTCGAAAGTGGCGACAGTTTCACAGATCGCAGCCCCCCAGGGATGGCGAGGTCTAATTTGAATCCGCGCGTGGCCCTCACTGTGCTGGGCCCCCCAGCAGGCCTCGAAAGTGGCGACAGTTTCACAGATCGCAGCCCCCCAAAGGATGGCGAGGTCTAATTTGGGTCTGCGCGTCGCCTCACTGTGCTGGGCCCCCCAGCAGGCCTCGAAATGGCGACAGTTTCACAGATCGCAGCCCCCCAGGGATGGCGAGGTCTAATTTGGGGCCGCCCGTCGGCCTCACTGTGCAGGGCCCCCCAGCAGCAGCCTCGAAAGTGGCGACAGTTTCACAGATCGCAGCCCCCCAGGGATGGCGAGGTCTAATTTGGGTCCGCCGTGGCCCTCACTGTGCTGGGCCCCCCAGCAGGCCTCGAAAGTGGCGACAGTTTCACAGATCGCAGCCCCCCAGGGATGGCGAGGTCTAATTTGAATCGCGCGTGTCTCACTGTGCTGGGCCCCCCAGCAGGCCTCGAAAATGGCGACAGTTTCACAGATCGCAGCCCCCCCAGGGATGGCGAGGTCTAATTTGAATCCGCGCGTGGCCCTCACTGTGCTGGGCCCCCCAGCAGGCCTCGAAAATGGCGACAGTTCACAGATCGCAGCCCCCCAGGGATGGCGAGGTCTAATTTGAATCCGCGCGTGGCCCTCACTGTGCTGGGCCCCCCAGCAGGCCTCGAAAATGGCGACAGTTTCACAGATCGCAGCCCCCCAAGGAGGCGAGGTATAATTTGAATCGCCCGTGGCCCTCTCTGTGCTGGGCCCCCCAGCAGGCCTCGAAAATGGCGACAGCAGCCCCCCAGGGATGGCGAGGTCTAATCGCATCCCGCCCAGGGACGGCGAGGTCTAATTTGAATCCGCCTCTAACTGTGCTGGGCCCCCCAGCAGGCCTCGAAAATGGCGACAGTTTCACAGATCGCAGCCCCCCGCAGGCAAGACAGGAAGAGGCAGGGAGGGAGGAGGAAGGAAGGAGTGGAGACCACACTGCTCTATTCAAAACGAATACCCAGCCAAGGAGGGTTGGGAAAAAACTCGATCCTCCTCCTCCTGCCCCTTCCTACTGTGAGTGGGCAAAAGCGACACCACCACCAGCACGAGACTCGAGAGATCACCCCCACCCCCCGCACGGGGAGGCATTGTGGACCCCCTCGCTGGAGGTGGAGCCCCTGGTGGTGGTGTCGCCTCTCCTTTCCTTGACCCTCCTTATCTGGACTGGAGTTACCTCGTAGAGCTCTTCGGCATGATGAGCTTTAGAGGCAGTCGGGCGCAGGTTGGAGCTAATGGGTCGACCCCACCAAAAGAGACAATGTGCCAACATGGGGCCGGATTTTTTTGAAGATTTCAACAGATTTGAAAACTCTTTTCTAGATTTCAGTTTTAATCTTCTGTGGCAGGTATCGGATTAAAGTTTGAAAGCAGGTGCGCTTTTTTGTTAGGCCGAGTACACTCAACCCGCAGAGTAAGGATGCGCGATAAGGATGCAAGGCCCTTGGACGACCAATTCGAAGCTCTTCGAGTGGGGCGCGGCCAACGAAAGTGCCCAAGGATGGACCCAGGAAGCAAGGATGCAAGGGTACCCTTGGGAGGGATGCCTATCCTTACTCTGCGGGTCGACTGTGTTACTATCGAAAAACATCTCTCAACCGACGTTGCCCCGACTCACTTGTATATGCCGTGGTACAGTGATCATTTTAGCCTCCACTGTCTTTTGCTTCTGAATTCCCAGCACCATGCAGCAGTGAAAGACAATGTCGCGCATCGCAGTGATAGCGCGCGAGTCCTGTGAACGATCTGCGTCGGGAGTTATAGTCACTCGTATGTGCGCTTCCACGGCAGCATCGCTCTCGCGCGCTGGAGGACGCACTGAATCTGATACATGTCTGTGCATTCATAAGTGTACATTTACCCACCGTATACACACCGTAGAAGTGCAGTGATCTATGCTGAATTGCTAGGAGCTCTACGAGGTCCCCCGCGGTAGCCAGGTTGACGGTTTACCGCCGGCGCCCAGTACGGCTGGACCTAGCACATAATAACCTCCTTCAAGAACGTGACACCCACCGCGGGCCCAACTGCAGAACGTTCTAGGATACCCTCCCCCAGGACGCACAAGATCACCAAACAAACACAAAGAACATTAGGGCACTCTCCCCGAACCCACCTCGATCTTATCTCTCAGTCCGACTGCAGACGAAGGACAAAACGGCATAAGCATACACGTCGTTCATTTCTAATTGTGCTAATTTCTGATTGTGCTCGTCTCTAATTGTTCCTGGCCCCCTAGTGGCCAGGAAGATGCCCATGATAGAACAATTCGAATTAGGTCGGGCCTGTCCCCCTGCAGGGGGATTTTGGGGACAAAATTGGAAATACCGAGAACATACACCAAACATATGCAAACATAGTCACAGAGTCGTCCCCAGACTATTTTTTTTGTTTTTTTTATACTATTTTTGAATATCCGTCCTATAGAGGGACACGCCCGACTTTCAAATTGGAAAGGAAAGGATCTTGGCCCCCCGAAAAATCAAAGAACTTTCGAACAATTAGACGTGAACAGTGCGTAAGCCTTCGGAGCCCCGCGCGGACTCCTTGGCTTGGCGCCGTGACCCCCTGGCGGCGCCTGTGGCGCGCCCCGGGACCAGGAGGGCCCGGCCCAGCGCCGACCCCAAAAATCCCGCGCGGTGATCCTACAGCTACACGTCGTTCATTTCTACTCCTGCTCATTTTTGTCTGTGCTCGCTTTAAAATTGGTCCATGCCCCCTAGTGGCCAGGAAGAGGCCCAGGATAGAACAAGTAGAAATGAAAGGATCTTGCCCCCCCCCCAAATCAAAGAACTTTCGAATAATTCGGAATGAACAATGTGTAGCCCATGCTCACGACGTTCCTTCTTGCTCGATGGAGGGCGTGTGCACCAGTTCGGAGCCTAGGATTTGCCCGGCCCGCACCGTCGGCGGCGACGATCGAGGCGAATAGCCCAGGTGCGGGCATTGCACGTATTCGCCCAGGAGTCTCGCCGAAGACATTGACCATCGGCGCCCCTGGATACATGTATGGCTCCCCCCCCTGGGCTATTCGCCCTTATCGTCGCCTCCGACACTGGTCCTTTAGATCCAATGCTGAGAAGCAACCACAACAACGAGCAAAATCCACGACTGGAGCCCTTGACCCGGCTTTTCAGCGGCACCTTGCGACCCGGATCGGCCTGTGCTGGCCCCGGGCCCCGAAGCCAGGCGAAACCGCCCGGCGTGCATTAAAAATGCGCCGCCCGGACCTCAGGTCGGATTGGCCTGGCCCGCATCGGCCACGGCTTCCGGCACCGCGCGAGCCGTCCGACTCCGAACGGCCTCCGCTCCAGGCTCGGAACGCCCGGCGGCCGTGTTGGGTCCCGCTAGGAGGAGGAGGAGGAGGAGGAGGAGGAGGAGGAGGAGGAGGGGAGGGGAGGAGGAGGAGGAGGAGGAGGAGGAGGAGGAGGAGGAGGAGGGGAGGAGGAGGAGAGTAAGGAGGAGGAGGGGAGGAGGAAAAGAAGGAGGAGGAGGAGGAGGAGGAGGAGGAGGAGGAGGAGGAGGAGAGGAGGGGCAGGAGGAGGAGGAGAGAGGGAGGGAGGGGAGGGAGGGAGGGGAGTGAGGGAGGGAGGGAGGGCAGGGACGGGAGGTGAGGGAAGGAGGGGAGGAGGAGGAGGAGGAGGAGTCCGCAGCCGTTTCGGTGGCCTGTTCTCTGTGGGACCCCGCAGCCCGAGGCGGGGGGAGGAAGAGGAGGAAATAGGATGAGGATGATGATGAGGAGGAGCAGGAGGGAGGAGGAGGAGGGAGGAGACGGCGGAGGAGGAGGAGGAGGAGAAGAGGAGGAGAGGAGGAGGAGGAGGAGGTAGGAGGAGGAGGAGGAGGTGGAGGAGGAGGAGGGGAGGAGGCAGGAGGAAGAGGAGGGGTGGGGGCTATCGGCACGGTCGTTTGCCGATCCGATCTTTCCAGCAGGGAGGAGAGGAGGAGGAGGAGGAGGAGAGGAGGAGGAGGAGGAGGAGGAGGAGGAGGAGGAGGCAGGAAGGAGGAGGGGAGGAGGAGGAGGAGACGAGGAGTGATGGGGGGGCTATCGGGCACGGTCGTGTCGATCCGACCTTTCCGGCGGAAAGAGAAAGAGGAGGAGGAGGAGGAGGTAGGAGGAGGAGGAGGAGAGGAGGAGGTGGGGAAGAGGAGGAGAAGAGGAGGAGGAGGGGCGGGCTATCG